CATCACTGTGCCAACGTGTAATTACTCATTTAAAACATGTTTAAAAACAACACCTTTTCTTTGTTAGGGGACGGCCTAATAGTTACTGCACTTTAAAATACACAGAAACAATAATAAAGATGAAACTAAGGAAGCTCTCGATGAGCTACGTCTTCATTTGCAGTCGCAAACCGCTGATGAAATCAATGTTACTGATGTAAATATTCCAAAATATATTTCTTAATTGCTCCATCTGTTATATCTAATTAGATTTGTTTAACTTAAATCGATTTGATCTAATTTGACATTATTATACTTTAATATAACACCTCCCCCACAGTCACTGAATGAAAAACCACTCTAATCACAGCTTTTTCAGTCAATGGTTTTGGCAGACATGCTTGCGGTGAATCAACTTTATTAACAGGAATGATCAAAGACGTGAAGGCTTTAATTCTAGATGTGTTAAATATTGAGGGCCTTATGATCCAGGTCTTATAATAACAGTCAGTGTTGTGTGTTCTACCAAACCACGATCACAGCAGTGGTGACAATGCGCAAACAACACACATCAGTTCTGCGCGTTAAACCGGGAAAGGACTGCGTCTCCAGTAAAGCCTCGACTCATTGGTGGTTTCCTGCAGGTTCTGTTGGGGTACTGACGTCTGCGACACGCACAGCACTTCCTGTGCCACCTACTGCAGCAGCAGCATGCGTCTGCCAATCCACTGTTACGTCCATTCAATACGTGTGGTTATTTGTGCTGAAATTATTCAAGAGGAATCACGAGGGTGGTGCCACCAGTTTGAGTTTTGTGGCTATAAATGAACACATCACCATCATTTATGAAACAAAAGCACAGAACTGGAAAATATTTTAAGGCTTAGTTCAAGTATTAATCTAACAGCATTTATACTGATGACGCCAATAACCTTGATAAAATGAACTGGAGGTATTCATGGTCCCAAGAGGATGAACACTTGTGGTTTTGACCAACTCTTCTTTTCACCAGTATCCAGCCCTGCGAGGCCGAGGCTGCTCTGCTCTCAGTGTCCTTGTTGGACATTCAATAAATGTTAAAGCGGAGGATGTTGGACATGTTGAACGTGTCGTCCTAACACACATTCGTGAATTTGGTAGATGTAAAAGTTTTCTGTGTCCTTCAATATTCAAATTCAAATGAATTAAAAGAAAATGAAAGAATTCGACACTGGAAAATGTTTAATTTCTTCATGCTTTGTATCCTGTTAACATCAGGTTACAATATGCGTCTACGAAGTGTGTGTGGTTTTTATCCAGCTAGTGATTCGGATGTTTATTAGTCACATGTGTATTTTACTACAAAGAACTTTGGCCTTGAACGCGTCAGCAGGACATTTAACTTTTTAATCATCAGTCTGCATCCTGTGTGATCTATACACATGCAGTGTCTGTAGTTTCTGACAGTTTTAGGTTTTGTGTTTGTTGTGTATTTAATAATCACAAGAAATAAAGTAAATCATTACCATATGAACATGACTCTTCAAAGCCCCACCCACCCCGCAATCCCCCAAACCGATGTTCCAAGTCAGAGAATTTCACAAAATTTCTAAATCAATATTATTATTCTTACTAAGCTATTTAACATCAAAATATCAAAACGACTTAATAAACTTCTGAAAATGTGCGTCGCTTCACCGCAGTTAACGCCAGCCCTGCTATTTAAACCACGTTTGGCACAGCTTCACTCTCCACCTGTTTTTGAGGGCTGTCAGCAGTAAACTGGGACCTGTGTCCAGTTCAGCTCGCACAAAGGCATTAAACACGTTGTGTCTGGTCAATATGAGGAAGGAGACAAAACCTTCATCCATGTCCAGTTCAAGGAGAGTTCAAATATTTCAGACAGCCGTCTCCTGATCCTCTCTCTGTATCATCTGGTAATGCTGTCTGTTCTCCAGGTACGCTGCCAGTTCAGCATCTTCAGCCTTCTCCGCCCTGTTCTTAGGAGTATCACCCTGAAGAAGAGACATTACACTCAAAAATGAATATTTTTGTATGACAAAGAGCTTTGTGTTAGCCCACTAAACTTGGTTTGCATTAAACTGTTTACATGATCAAAACAAACAAACAAAACTGTGTGTTTAATGCTGCTCAGTAATGCTGCCTTCACTGTACAGGTTCCTCCCAGTTTCTGAAATGTTGCATTGCATACAAAGAAATGTAAAAGCAGAAAACGAAGCTTTTTAGGAACGTTTCCCATTTGCTTCCCTGTGTCGGCCCAACACAGAGCAACCAGCTCACCAATCAAGACTCAGCAGTGCACTGAAAACCAAAGAACCGAGGATAGAAGCTGCTTTACAGTGTGGGTGCTTCATCTGTGTCGTATTCATGTTGTTGGGACATAAATCTATTTACTTAATTACAATATATGGTAAAAAAAATATGACCGCAACTAGGGCTGGGCGATATGGCCCAAATTCATATCTCGATCTTTAGCTGGATATACGATATATATCTCAATATTTATTTAAAACCATAAAGTACGAACAAAACGAGAGTTCTTAGTCAAAGCTGTGTCCCAGATCTCACATAGGCAGTTTTATTAACATGCAGCGCGGATGTACGTGCAAAACTTATATAAATGATCAGCATTTGTTAAATAATAATGCTCCATAAATAAAATAAAACGATGTTGTTTTTGTGCACAACAAAAAGCTCACAATCGTGCAGTCAAAATGTAAACCAACAGACGCTGAGTGCGATGAGCTGCTGTTCTACTGCGTGACTGACAGCCTGGAGTTTGAAACCCTCTTTGTAACCGTGTCTCTTACAGCTGCCATTTGTGGCCCTTATACGCACACAGTACGGTAACATTACGCTGAAGCACAGCACGTATCACTCCGCTCCTGACAACGGTAGCTGTAGTGCTCCAACAATCCATCAAGCGCTGCAGCTTCGTAGCAAAGTCGTACCAAAACATTTTTGACAGATTGCTGAGCGCCGTGTACATAAAATCGGTTTGCGGTCAGTAAGCACAACCAGAACTCATGCATAAGGCGCGCTGATGATTTTTGAGAAAATGAAAGGATTGTAGTGTGCGGTTATAGTCCGAAAAATACGGTATACGAGTTTTGTAAGGTGATTTGTTTCGGGGCAGGATGCTGGGAGACGGTCTGGGATGCAGCTTGTTTCACACACTCTTCATTTTGCACTTTTGTTGCTGTTGTAAATGGTGAAAATACTGGTAGTGCTACCTGCACGGCCGTGCAGCCCCACGCACGGGCGACCTGCGGTAACTCGTTAACGGAGATTTGTCGGGTTAATGCAGTTACGGCGTTAACGTCATTTTAGAGTAGCACTGCAGCACTAAAATAATAATCTTCAAATGTTTTCTGTTTGCCGAGCAGCTCCTCTGTGATAGCTGCCGTGTCCGTCCTGTCGCTGCCTGCAGGTGAAGCGATGGGGGGGGGAGAGGCAGAGTAACGCAGCGTGGAGACAAAAGTGGACGAAAGAGGCAAGCTTGCAGCTCCACAAGTATAATTATAACGTAACAGACTACATCGACATAAAGGATATTGTCACATCTCATATAAAAAGATATCGATATATTTAAAAACTCGATGCATCGCCCAGTCCTAACCGCAACCATAACAGTGGTCGAGCCATGGGTAGGGTTTACGCTCCAGGAAGAGCCAGAGCCAAGCGGGAGAGAGTCCAAGTGCAGAGACGTTTTAAGATGAAACAAAGTACTTTATGGTGAATGTTAAAACTGCTCTTGTTTCCTCCCCCCTCTCCTCCCCTCAGTATCTAGGTCATTGCTGAGTCCAGTGAGTTAAGAGCTTTTCCTATGCAGTTAAAACCTCCATAGAAAAACTAAAAGAGAAACACATTTGAGACCAGAACACAAACATGTGCTAAAGCCACTGCAATAGTGCCATTTTTGCACTGCATTCACCAAAACGTGCAGTCGTTCATCAGCTCCCCTCTGAAATGCTTCCTGAGCGAGTGTTTCAGATGTTCTCCACATACGTGTTGTTCACTACACATTTGTGTTGGTGCTTTATTCTCTGAAAAGGCAAATTCTAGCTGTGTGGATTGTGCTCCTTCACTGAAACGATTAAAGTAAAGAAGACTCGACGTACTCCGGGGCTGAGAAAGACAAAATGGAACAAAATGTGTGTGAAGCTTTGAAAGGATTTCTGCAGATTGGTCACAACATGCAGTTTTCTTCCTTTTAAACCACTTCGTTGTACATTCACCTGTGTGCTTCAGCACCGTCTTCTTGCATCACCCGACCTCTCTTAAGCTTTAGTCGTGCCTAAAGCTTAAGAGAGGGGTGAGTCACTTATTTACCCAGAAGAGCAGACTGTGCCAGTATACGTCTTTGTGGGAAAATCTACAACCCACTAATTTTATCTCTGTGACTGAAACATCGTCAAGTAACTTTTGGACATCTCCATTTTGCAGCCAGCATCGGTGATACTCAGTATATCCAGTAACGAGGGCAGAAATACTGTTTGTATGTAGTTCTGTCATTGTGAGCTACATGAATCAGGAGTCCGTCTGCAAGTATAAAAAGCAATTTGACACTGACAAAGAAGGAGGGCGTTTCCTTTTTGTTTAACAGAGTCGTGGAGAACTGTAAATGCTACTGAACCTACCAGCAGGTCTGTTTTCATGAGTGAGGCTCCTGCTTCCACCAGATAATGACAGATAGTCCTGTGACACAGCGACGCAGCCTGATGAAGAACCGTTTCCCCACTGGTGGTCCACGATGCAGCACCAGAGAGAAAAGAAGAGAGCAAGCTGTATTTCATGTATGCTGGGAGTGAAACACAGCTGATGAAGAGGCACCCAGCTGATTCTGTTTGGCTTTTATGTTTATTCTCTTTAATGTTTTCTACACTTGTTGGAATGCCAGGCAACAGAAAGAGACCAGAGCTCATTGGCATCATCATCAAAGCTTGAATACAGTCACTTCATTGCAGATAGAGAACACACAAACCTCGTTATTATTCTAAGACTAGTGTTAACATGCAGCCCAAAACAAATCGCCTCAAGTTATTTGTTCCTACTGTAACATCTAAATGTTTCACATACTCACTGTAGTTTTTCAGTGACATCAATCAGCTCACTCGGTGCTGGAAAACAGAGAAGGAGGAGTGACTGTAGAGACACGGGGTTCATCCAACTATGCAAACTGGTTTTTTAACCTTCAGCTTGCAGTATCATCTCATTATTAGCAACAGTGGTGGCAGTATTTTCACAGTCATAGCGCTGTGAGCTTAAAGACGAACGGACGGACGGAGGGATGGAGCTCTGCCACAGCCTGACAGAACTGCACCAGCATGTTTTTCATTACTGTAAATACTAGATCTTCATCTCCACTCGATGCTTTTCTGTTACCATTGTCAAGGATGTAGCGCACCATGTCCTTGCTTCCTGTACTAACAGCATGGTGTAGCAAGCTCCACCCTGACTGGTCCAGGACCGTGAGGTCGGCTCCCCTCAGGTGCAGCTCCTGCAGCTGCAGGTGATATACAGGCGAGATAAACGTTAACAGAAAGGCTTTTTTAACACGATGACAAACTAAATTTGTAATTAAAGTCTAAATGCACCACAGTGAGATGTTAATCCTACTGTTAGCTGTTAACACATGGAAAGGATGCGAAAGGTGTGAGAGAGGTGTCTCAGAGGAACGTGTTTCCATGCAACTTCCTTAAGTTAGCGACGGACTAATAAATAAATCTGCAAACACTTATCAGTACTTACCTTCTTCAAGTCCTTGTTCTTCACACAATCCATTAACATTTCTACGAGACAGAGAGAGAACGCAAACACAAAATCACAGCTTCATTGTCACGTTACAGAAAGCATCTGCATAAACAACCAAACATCGTGTCATCGTGTCCGCACAAAAAACACGTACGGGCAGAAAATTACATCCACGAGGGTCAGAATATTAGAAACAGCATCACAAACAACAGCTTCAGTGCTGTGACACAATAATTATTTTGTATATTTATTACATGGATAATTGGTATATTTACTGAGTCATGTTTGTAGTGATAGCTGGCATTTTCTGTTCTAATGGAAATTATGAAGCAAACAGGGATCAGCCACTCTGTGGCTACAGTGCAGTAGCTGAATGATTAGATAACGCCACAAAGGATCATCACTATATTGAACATCCCCATGAAAACTGTTCGGAGTCGTTACTGGGTGAAACAGTTGGTTGGTGTGTGTCTGTCTACGCCGAGATATGAGATGAATGTTTATTAGGTTGACCTCAATACTTGCTTTCACTCCCTCTCTCTTTAGTAGCTGAGTCCTAATCCAGTTATGTTAGGCTTAGTGTGTGTGTGTGTGTGTGTGTGTGTGTGTGTGTGTGTGTGTGTGTGTGTGTGAGAGAGTGAGACAGAAAGAGAGAGAGGGGTGCAAAGAGTGAGTGAAAGGAGGGGGAGAGAAAGCGAGCAGACTTCAAAAACCTCTAAGAGCGTTTGTAGCTGTAAGACAAATCAAAAACAACACACACACAGTCGCACACACACACAACAAAACCAAACACACACTGTGAATTAAATGAATTTAGCCGAGGGAAAGAATTAAGTAAACCAGAGAAAATAAGATTCAGTCTTACGACACAAGAGAGGAGAAAAGGTAGAAAGAGGACACACAAACACACAAACGCACAAACACTCGCACACGTCACTTGGTCCATTGAACTCTTCAGTTTGATGCAGTCAGCCTGTCTGACCCTTATGGGAGCTGCGTGTGTGCGTGTGGATGAAAGCAGATGTATGCATGTACGCAAGAAAGAAAGCCTGGAGTCACATTTCATTAAAACAAACGGAACGACAACAGGACAAAGCCGAGCCTCACATGTTGAACATCCACTCGCAATCACGCACACAGTGCTGCACCTGAAACTGAGGCTAGTGTTTTACAGTCTGCAGCAGCCATAGAGTCACATCCACTGATGGTTACCGTTTTGCATCACATTAAACTAAATGTGTTCATTTCAGAGTAAAACGCTGGGACATGTTTGCAGAGTGCTGGATTCCTCCACTCTTAATCACAGAGGAGTTGTGACAAATTTGGAATCGTCCGACTGCAGAGCAGAGTCACACTCTTCCCGGTGAAGATGCTGGGATTTCCTGCCTTTGTTTACAGTAAATGGATTTTTGTCTTCCTGGCTGAACTATGAACAGCGACAGAGGGTTGGATGTGGAAGCGTTGCTAACCCCACAACATCATTCCTTTTAATCACATGGGCCGCTGTGGCTCATGAAAGAGAACGTATTTGTAGAATAACTGTTGGGATGCATTATTTTCATTACTGAACGTGAGTAATCCCTCCCTACTTTTATTTGTTGTCCAGTCTTTTTACAGTAAATCCTCTTCCTGACCTTTTGTCAGAGTGACATTCTTCTTCAGGTGTTTTTGGAACTACACAATTTGTAGACTTTTGTTGCCTCTGTTTTTTCTGAACCAGATGCTGAGCATATGGTTGATGTAAAAATACCACAAACAATGGGATACATGATATCCACATTTCTGGCAATTCAGTAGGTATAGCGGCGTAGCTGTAGGTCAGGAGGTCGATTAGAAGGTTGGTGGTTCGATCCCTGGCTCCCTCAGTCTGCATGAGCACGACCCCCCTCTGTGATGCGTCCATCCACAGTGTGTGAATGTTAGCTAGAAGCACTTAAAGCGTAGAAGACGATGCTTGTGTGGCTGAATGTGGCGTGTTGTATAAAGAGTGCAGAATAAGAATCAGTCCATTTTAAAACACGTGACCAGTGGAAATATGAATGTGTCCCTATGCAGCAGCTCACTCTCAACTGGCAATTTTCATGAATAACACTCCTGTATTAGCAGTTATTATTGTTATTAATGATGACTTTAATAACTGACAGCAACAACTGGGTCGTATTCATCTAACACACAAACCTGCTGCCAAGTGAAAACATGCAACAAAGAAACACAAGCACAGAGGTGCTGACAGAAGAGGAAGCCACGGCCACGACTCCCAGCATGCTAGAACGAGTGCAGGCAGAGCGAGTCGGAGGAAATGTGTCAGAGAAGAAAAGAGTCTTTCTTGAGTCTCTTCTCTGTCTTTCACACAGACTTGTCAGGAACACGTTCAGCTCTGTGTGGAGCGAAATGTTCGAGTGAAGGAATCAGACATCATTCAGTCAGGTCCTACAAGTTAAGCCCTGGATACTGTGTGTGTGCATTACCTTTTTCTCTCTCCTTTTCTGTTTCGCTCATCTTTTGGCTCTTTTCCCATCTGGAGAAACAATGACAGCAAACACGCTGATCACCTGTTCAAAATAACTACTGTGTTCTTTCATGGTTCAGTCACACTGTAGTAAAAACAGCACAGCGACCTGCTTTCAGCCAGGAAACATCACTGGCCGCACTGAATCTTTTTGGATTCGGTGATTCAAGTAGTTATGGCAACAATTTCATTACCAAGAGTCTGAGCATGCAACCATCACAAGATGACTGCACAAGGCGCCTGGTCAGAGGCAAAAGTGTCTCCAAACAATCACGGCCTGACTCGGACTGCCTACAAATACACAGACTGCAGCCAGACTAGCAGCAGCGTTCTGGTTTCTGCCTCCAGTCTGAATGTTACTGCTCAGTCAGGTACGAATAGGCTGCATCCCAATAATCATCTGTCAGAGAGCAGGGGATGGCTTATATCTGCAACCTTGAAACCTTTGTCTGAAAACAGTTCAGTTGCTTTGTTAGCTCTTTGTGGAGAGCGATCAGCTGGCCTGGATATTCCATCGTAATTTCATTGAAATCAAAATCGAGGTTTTGGCAGAAAGTGAAGGAATCTTGTTGCTGCCGTTTGGTGTTTAACACTTTCAGTACATATGAATATGAAAGAATAAGGATAAATTATAACAAAGAACAGGTTGGGTGGGTCAGTTCAAGCCGGCAGTGTTTCCAGAGTAAACGTTCAGTCTGCAGAAGGTCAGTCTCTGTGAAGTTTGAGCAGACTCTACATGCCATCCCTCCGTCTCCTCACCTGCTCTGTGCAGCTTCATGCATCTTTAATTCAAAAATAACCCCATGTTATTTCTGGGACACTTTTGAAACCCTCTACTTCCACTTCTGCTGGAACTGCCGTATGATGCAAGCAGTGCTTTGTGTGGGATCAGCTCCAGAGGCAGCATCAAAGCAGGAATGTGATATAACCACGCCCATTGTCTTCGCAGGGTGAAGCATCCTTCAGTATGTTACAGGGCCTTTGGCAGGTGACACAGCTGGATGGCGCTGGAGACTGCGCTCAGGGTAGAACCAGCCAGCGTCGTGTCAGTGATGACGCCTGATTCCCAAACCTGACTTAACAAGAAATGTCTAAAAATGGAGTCCAATAACGAACTCATGCTGTTTCTCTTTCTTCTACCTTATTCTAGCTGCTCTGACCTTTGCTGGTTAACTCCTCCCTCAGTTTTCAGCCGATTTTCACCATTCAAACTTTAAACTGTTCTTCTCCTTCCGCTAATTCCTGCTATATCTTTTGGTGCTCATAACTGTTATACTTTTTGTGCCATTTTCTGGCCCATTTTGCTGAGTAGGACCATATTATCAGTGTGATCACTAGTTTGGCTTGCCGGGCTGAGCCGTGTTTTAGCTCAGTGAGATGAGCAGCCGTTCTCAGAGCGGGAGGCCCGGGTTCGAATCCCTTCAACTTTCTTTTTTTAACTGTTTTCAGCAGAATTTTCAGTTTCTTCACCTGTTATCAGTTACCTGAGAACCAGTTTGGCTCAGTGAGATGAGCAGCTGTGACACCAGGAGGCCCGGGTTCGAACCCTGCTCATGGCAACATTTCCTTCCAGCAGACAGTTTAACTTTTTCACCTCTTTTCAGTACAAATTTCTGCTTCTTCACCTGCAGAATTTTCAGTTTCTTCACCTCCTCTCAGCACATAGTTTTACTTCTGCTGTTTCCACCAGATTCCACTACGAGGCATTCACACTGCATTTTCGCAGGAAATGCAACTTTTTCTAGTTGAATTTATGTTTTTCAACTGATGCCACACATGTTACACCAGTCTGTTAGGAAAGACTTTTTATACTTCCTCATCCAGAAATAAACTGCTCTACTGCAAATTTGTGCGTGTACAAAAATGTTTTTTCCCAGACCGAGAGCCAGTGTGCTGTGTAAACAGAGACTATAGCCTAAGATCACAAGTACAGCAAGTGATCTCTCACACAGCTGTTTAGGGTGCAAAACCACTTGTACTCATTACTCAGTGCGAAAACATTTTAATGAGCACGTTACTTTGTCGCTTTAATGAGTACTATTATGTTTTAATGAGCAGAGATATGTGACTTGACTCAAACTGACTGGTTTCATCATTAATGGATGAAAACTATTAGCAAAACATTAACTCACATCACACCGTCAAGAACAGTCTTCCTCAAATCACATCACACTCCTGAGTGCCCATCATGTCTCCTAGTGCAGCTTAAGTAGAGTTACATGAGGGTTAGAGGAGGACAGCCATTTGTGACCGAGCTACCAAATCAGAAACCTGCCTCATACATATACATGAGAAACTGTAAATGCATCGCTCACAGTTTCTAACGTATATAAAGATAAAGGAGGCAGGCTTCAGAGACACAGAGATATCCTGTATATGATCGACAGGGTTTGTCTGTATTATTGATCTCAGAGTTGTTCTGATTTGGCGCTATACAAATAAAAGTGACCTGAACTGAGTAAAGTGTATTTGTGGACAGCATCACACACACACACTCGGGAGGCTTGGTTTCAACATCAATTATATAAAATCATTTAATACCAAGCTAATCTGGTCCTAACCAAGGAGTCAGTGTGCTATGAGGCGTTCACAGCCTGATGAAAGGTAGAAAAAACTGTTTGTGTAGAGGTATTGTGCACTGATGAAGAGGTTTAAAAGTGTTTTTAAGCATACTTACTTTTGCCTTTGGTTGGTATCCGCAGCTGTTGTGTTGGAACGATGGATACAGCCCGCTCTGCAGAATACATTTAAAAGGTTTCAGTGATGCTAAATAGTAAAATCAATACTCTTTGCTGTAAATAGATGAACACTGTTAAAGCTATACGGCCGGCTTCGATGTGTGTGCATGTTTTATATTTGGAGTAATGGTGTTTGCTGATCGCGTTCATTCATTTCAAGCATCTTGTTAGTAGTTTGAATTTTTATTACATATATTTTTACAAGTGTATATGTGTTTATTCTTTTATTATTGACAAAAGCTTAGAAGAAAATTACATTTTCAAGACTTCGAGATGATGAACTGAACATAATACATGCAGAAATCCAAACATGTGGAAGTTATAATAAATCATTTAAAGAAATATAGATGTTCGTATTCTTTGCATGTGTGATGTTTGTGCAAAGTTTGGTTAAGCTGAGGAGACGATACAGACATTTATACATCCATATACTCTGATCATCATCGCTGTTATCTTCAAGATCAGTCTGTGTTTATCTCGGCATCGTTGGCTGGATGCACCAACAGGGCTTCACAACGTCTGAGGGTTGACGTCAGCATCAGTGATAAACCCAACCTGCTGCTAGCAGAATAGGTCAGTTGTTCTTTCATGTCTTGGCAGTCGGTGGACGAGGAAAATATTCACCGACACGAACCAGAAAGATTTATTTATTTTCCAAGTCAAAACTTAGGGTTAGGATTTGTTTGGGGTTATCACTGATGATGACTTAGACCTCCAACGGTTAGCTTCAACAGTTACATTACCATCCACGCTGTTCTGCTGTGCAGTAACACAACACATGGCCAGATCGATAGAAAAACAACTTTAAGAGGATAAAAAGAGCCACAGAGCTGAAGGGTCTTAGACTGCTTAGACCCTCCTCCTCTTTCTCACTGATTCCTCTGTGGTCATTAACCTGACTATCCCTCATCTCTAGTTCTGGCGAGAGACACTGTTAAAAATATAACCCAGCAAGCTGCAGGCTGGAAGCCAAACAGACGAGAGCTGCGACACCAAACACGTAAAAAACACGGTGCATATTTAAGAGTCACTAACCGGCTGAGTTTGCTGGTCACAGGTTCTTTGTTGTGCGTCAAAACTTCTGCTTCTGTGCTGTCACTGTTCATGTGCTGCCTTGGGGAAGAACTACAGCAGAACACAAAGGAAACAAAGGTAGAGTGAGCATGCAGCCAGGACTTCGTGTTGCCTGGACAGAAGAAAGAGGCACAGTTCACAGATCCACTGAGCTCTGAAGCTTCACATATGCATGAAAACAGCTGCATGTGCATGTGAGATCTCAACAACATCCCTGTGAATATTTGACACAGAGAGAGAAATGATGAACCAGTCATGACTTTACAGAGAGACGTGTTTCAGACAGATCTGAGATTCACAGGGACGTTATGAGGAACAAAACATCTTCAGCCTGTCTGCAGCGTCTTGGTCGGTGTGGTTAAAGAAGTAAACGGTGTGATAATGAGCATGATTGAGGTAAAGGCATGGGTAGAGAACAGAGGAAGGAAGTATAAAGCATTTTAAGGGCTGTAAAAGTAGGACAAGCTTAGGGCAAAGCAAGAAGAAACAGCCGCTATGTGAAATTCTCTGAATTTTCAAAACATATGAAACTGGTAGCAGCCGAGGGAGTCTCACAAAGTCCCAAATCCATGGCACCAAGAGAAAATAGAGAGCACACATAGTGCTTTATCCCAGCACTGATGTGGTTGCTCTACCATTGTTCCCATTTTCCTGAAAAGCAAACCTTTGTGGTCATCTGTGTAATACCAGTTCTCTGAGGTGGGAGCAGCATCATGTTGCTGTATCTGCACAAACTCTCAGCCTGCCTTAAAAACACATTGTTGTGATGTGTTAACATTGTTTTTACTCTACCTCACTGTTAACACCAGTATGATGGCACGATATCCATCAGTGGCATCCAAGCAGGAATCAGTTTAAGCACAGAAGTGTGAGTAAGAGGACTTAACTGACTGTTCATTGATGCAGCAGATTCCTGATGGTTTGCTTCTCCATCAGGTTACATTTGGATATGTTGAGTTGTTGTGTTATTTTTAGTTATCATCAAGCTCCCTTTAGTTTTGAGTCTTTGTCTGTGCAGTCTGTCTTGTCCTCTATCGACTGTTCTCATGTGTCTCTTGTGTTTCATGTCTCCCCAGTCTGTCACATGTTTCATGTCTGTGTTCCATGTTGTAAAGCGTGTGTTGTCATGTCTACATCCCATTATGTTGCCTGTGGTCCATGTTCAGTGTGTTTAGTTTTGCTCCCCCTGTGGCGTCATGTTCATGTGTGTCAGCTGTGTTTCCACTTCCCTCATTACCCTTCAGTGTATTTAAGTCCTCTGTCTGTTTTACGTTTGTATGCAGAGTTTTCCATGTCTTCGTTTTCGCCATTGTGTTTCTGTTTTTCTAACAGAATAAAAGGCTGACTCATCTCACCAGGATAAAGAAGCTTTAGGTTTGTCTGAGGTTAACCAGCTGGTTACTACACTGTGTACCCTGCTTGAACCTACCAAACACAATAACATCTGATCATGGATGATACTGAAAAGTAAAAATCTATGTCAGCAGAATCTTCTTATGTGTGATCAACAGCTGCATATATAAGTTTTGGTCATTTAGGTGAAATGTCTTGTGTAGCAGCCACAGCTCCAAAGCTGCTGCTCCCAGCACAAAACAGAGACTAAAGTCAAGGATTTGAACTGCTCAGCTGTCTTTGTTTATGTTGTTAAGCTCAGCATCATCTTTGTGTCTGTGTCCATCTACACAAAATAGAAACTTTCTTACAACGGTTTTAAGTTTTTCCCACAAAACAGACTCCAATTTTCCAAAGATCTCCAATTCTTGAGCTCCTGATTATGTCAGTCTTGATGCCAAACTGACAGTAAGTGAAGCTTTCAGGTCAAAATTCATTTAAAAAACTAAATGTTTGGTGTGTAGGTGTCCTTCAGTGTGTTTGCCAGAGAGACAGGGGAACGGAGAGAAATAGAACAGAGAAAAGTAATTGTAGTGGGAGGAATAACGCTCACCTCTGGCCCTGCGTGGGCAAACCGCTGTGCTGCGTGTGTGTGTGTGTGTGTGTGTGTGTGTGTGTGTGTGTGTGTGTGTGTGTGTGTGTGTGTGTGTCTAAATACAGTAGATTGGTGCGACTCTGGAGTGCTCTGACATGCATTACGTTTCTCTCTCCATCCACTGTTTTCCTGACTATCTTCCTCCTGAACCTCTCTCTCCCTCACTCTGCCCCTCGATCTCATCTCTCCTCCTCATCCTCCCACTCGGTGCACTCAGCATTGCAAATCAACCCGCCAACACTCACACACTCACACACAGCCAAAGGGATTTACTGTCAGGATCAGCAGGTTGTGTTGCTATGCTTATACTCATGTTGTACCTGTTACTTTATTTACTGCCTCTTTCTGTTCCACATGCAAATGTGTGTTCACAGTTTGTAGCTCACATGGCCACAGCCGCTCAGCTGCCAGGAGAAACAGTAACCAGGGTTTTTGTAACATTTTTTGTAACATTTGTTTGTTACTTGATGATCATAGTTTGTGACTGGGACACATCAGATCACACAAAAGACAAGAAATAGAATTCAGGCTCTCAGCTGCCTTCTAACAGTTTGTTAAAACTAACATTAGTAATGAAATCAGTTCTTTATTAACTAACTAATTATGAGAATCTTCATGGGAGCTCATGCTGCTATAGCTGCATTTTTGTGGCATTTATGATACTGTACGGACGAGAATGTCAATCCAGGATAAAAATGAGTGAAAACCTAAAGTGCTTAGAGTGCATACCACAAGGACTAAATGAATCCCCGGGCGAATCCCTTGCCAGGCCGCCCCTGCTAACCCTCCCCACATTTCTTGGCTGTTTCTATACCGCTGAGGTAAAATGCCAAAAAAGCTTTTTTGATACATCATGGCCATCAGAGGAACTGGTAACAGGAAGTAATAGGCCACAAATCCCAGGCCTACTTAGACAAACGCCAAAAGTCATTTTACAGGCATTTTCCTTCCTTTCATCCAGTACAGAGTCGCAGCAGAGCTGAAGCCAGTCACAGCTGTCACAGGGTCCCAGGGAGGAAGCTGAACAACCCGGGAAGAACATGCAAACTCCACACAGAGGAGAAGCAGCCTGGCGTCAAACCCAGGACCACCTTGTGTGAAGTGACGACCCACTGTACCAGTTTGCACACAGTGCTACACAAAACTGATGTAATCTGTGCAAAGACTGTAAAAACATACAGTGGGTGTGAAACTAGTGAAAAGATGATGAAAGAAACATTGCAATACATGCTTGTATAATAATAAGAAGAATAATAATAATAATTAGTGTTCTAAACATACTGATGTGTATTTGTGCAACACTTGATGAGCAGAAAAACATGACAAGTGCACTGCTCTGTAGAGAATGGATAATAGTCTGAGAGTGAGCATCATATTATATTTGATGGCTAGACATTTATAAAATTAGTTATTTGGATTTTGGAGTGATAGCAAATGCAATTACGCCCACAGTGCTCTACAAAACATTATGTGTTGTTTGTGGCAATTGTTAGGAGTCTAAGTGTTTTAAAGCCCTAGATATGGATTCATCTACTGTCAGCTGGCTTTAACTGGTTATAGTTGCTGTAACTGAAATAATAAATATCTGAGATACTAACCACAGATGTCTCAAATGAATCTGCATGCAAGGACATCTCAGACATCTCTGTTGTTTAGTGAAACAGGCAGCACGAAAGGGTTAAAGCATTCCAGTATTCAGTAAACTGGTTAATTATTTATTATTCATTAGCAGTTTGTTTCTTTGTTAAGTGACTCCAGTAATTATATTTATACATTTTGATTTGAGATATAAATTAAGTTTCATTTGAAATAATCTTTTCCTTTAAAGAGCAACCAATCCTTCAGAGTCAACCCAACACTGTTCCAACACTCTTCTGTTGTCTAAAAACATTAGAAACACTTCATAAAGCCACAGTCTTGCACTAGGTGTCAAGTTACTTCATGATGATGACCATTTACAAGCACTGTATTTCAGCACAATCTGATGAATTTCATGGTTAGAGGGCTTCCTCATACACAACAACCACAGCCAGGTTTGGAGAGGCATCCTCAAGAACTGCAAAGGCCATGGCTCCAACAGTAGCCTCACACTAGCAGAGGAGCTCAACAACTTCTTTGCTCAGTTTGAGACCAAAGAAGTTGATTATCATATAAATGGCGGTAAAAAACGGCAAGATCGTAGACTCATGTTTTCAACCCAGCTGCGACAGTCGCGGCACAGCTCGCCATCTTAAAAAAAGTACAGAGCTGCACGACCGCCCGATGTGCCACAAAGATTGTGTCTTGTGAAACAGGATGTGATGTGAAAATTATCACCAGATACCCGCAACACAAGCGACGCGGCAAGCATGAAAATGGCTGGAGAGAGTTCAACCCCAGGAGAGCTGCTGACCTTGACGGCATCCCAGCGACTGTGGACAAAGCCTGTGCGGATCAACTGGCAGGTATCCTTACCAGGCTGTTCAGCCTCTGACTCATGCCACTGTTCCCACCTGTCTGAAGGCCTCCACCATCATTCCCATTCAAAAGACTGAAATATACACCGTCAATGACTACAGACCTACAGCCCTCACATCAAGTCATCAAGTGTTTTGAGTGGATGGTGTCAACCGGTTTGCTTACTGAGCAAAAACGGTCCATGGAAGATGCCATCACCATCACCCTTCACAGA